GTGTGTGTGTGTGTGTGTGTGTGTGTGTGTGTGTGTGTGTGTGTGTGTGTGTGTGTGTGTGTGTGTGTGTGGCTGATGACCTGCAGGTGGTGACATGTGATTTTCTGTTTCAAGTGATTGCAGGGATGTCATCGCATCTCCTGATTGACCATTTCTTTGGGTTTCCAAATGTTTCTTCAGTCCTTTGTTGTTTTTTTGTTGTTTTTGTCTTTATCCTCACAAAAGAAGGTTTGGGCAGGGTGGGGGTGTTCACTTGTGTAGCTAATTTAGAATCAAAGTTGTGACAGCAGCCCAGTGTCGAAATTTTACTACATGTGGTTAAGTTTGCATGTTAGTAAATAACACCCCCACTCTCTGGTCTCTTGCACCGTGAGACAGGCTCCAGAGCCACCCTGTGAAAGACTAAGTGGGATAAGCAGTGCCAAAGGAGTGACAGATAGATACGTTATACACTTCGTTTCTATTTCCAGTAATTCGCTTTGACTGTTTTCATTTGGGGGATAAAAAAGTACTGTAAAAACTGCTGCCCTAAAGCTTTATTTAAAAAGTTCATCCATATAACAAATGCAGTCTCGTCTGTTACTCAAGTAAAGAGGACACCAAACATTGTTGCTCAAGTTTAAATCAATCTTCATCCATTTCAGATTCTGAATGCCTCGAGAGTCTAGACCATTTTCCCCAAAGTTCAGCATGGACAGCATCTTATTTAAAGAAACTTTTGTCTTTCTCAGGCAGATGCGATTTACTGCTGTTAAAAGCATTTGATGATGACACATTTAACATGGGGATGTGTAATCATGTCAAGTGGTAATGCCATTAATAATCAAACTGCATCCCTCTACTTCATCCACAGAAGGCAATCATCATTTTTCTGGTCTTGATAATTTTGTTGTTGAAATTAGGACTATAGTTATGATCCATACTATCTCTGCAAACATGTCTGTTTTAGAGCTACGAATAATGGACCATTCATTACCGCGTATTTTCTTTTGTTTTTGGATGTCTCTCAAAATGTCGTCACGTTCTAAAGAGAACTAGCAGACTTTTTTGTTTATTGCACGGATGCTGGATGCAGCTCAAATATGCACTGCAGGGACCTATGGGACTATCAGTAGTAGGACGAAAGCACAGCTGGCTCAGTAATTTGCCTGGATGCAGTCAATCCTCTGTTATGCCCAAGAAGCGGTCTGTACTCTTTCAAGGGATGGGAAGTCATTGCATTGTTATGGCACCTGTTCAGACTTGTGTAAACTCCACGTACACACAGCCACTGTTTTACATTTCTGTGATTTCATCGCCTGCAGCAGAAAATCGGAAGACATGCATAATTTCAGCCTCAGAAGCTCAATATTACATCCCTTTGGTTTACTCCCAGAGCAGATGGCAGCGGCAGCATGCAGGTCTCTGTTGGTCTCTGTGAAGGTGATGTTGTCTGGATTCAGTTCATCTGTACTAGAAGCCAGAAAATGTTCTTT